CAGCAGCAGCAGCAGCAGCAGCAGCAGCAGCAGCCGTCGCCAGAAGAAGACTGCCGGCTGCTGCTGGCCCTCTGCTGCTTTCTCTATCCCAAGCCTGACAGTGTTCAACGCACAAAGGCTCGTGACGAGTTAGCAGCTCAAGACGCAGAGGAGGACAAGCAGCGGCAGCAGCAGCAGCAGCAGCAAGAGCAGCAGCAAGAGCAGCAGCAGCAGCAGCAGCAGCAGATGGAAGTCACAGAGCGACAGCGTCTGCGGTTTTTGCACCCCACAGTTGACGTGAGAACAGTCCCCCCGCATGTTTTCTATTTTATTTTTTATTTCTTTCTCTGTCTTTTGCTTTATCTCTTTGTCAGTTTTTGTTTTTTTTATTTGCCTCTTCTTGTCTCTGCCTTCATCGTTGTCTCCGTAGTTCTCTCCGTCCTTGTCTTTGTCTTCGTCTCTGTCTTTGTCTTTGTCTCTGTGTTTTTGTCTCTATCTGTGTCTTCGTGTGTGTGTGTATTTATCTTTGTCTTTACCTATATCTTTATCTCTGTCTTTGTCTTTATCTCTGTCTTCATCGCCGTCTTTTTCTCTGTATCTGTCTCCGTCTTCACCTCTGCCTCTGTCTCTGCCTTTGCCTTTATCTCGTTCTCTGTCTTTTGTCTTCATCTGTCTTTGTCTTTTGTCTCTATCTGTCTTCGTCTTTGTCTTTATCTTTATCTCTGCCTTCATCTTTGTCTTTATCTCTGTCTTTATCTCTGTCTTTATCTTTGTCTTCATCTGTGTCTTTGTCTTTATCTCTGTCTTTATCTCTGTCTGTATCTTTGTCTTCACGTATGTCTTCATCTATGTCTTTGTCTTTATCTCTGCCTTTATCTTTGTCTTTATCTCTGCCTTTATCTTTATCTCTGTCTTTATCTCTGTCTTTGTCTTTATCTCTATCTTTGTCTTTGTCTTTGTCTTTATCTCTGTCTTTGTCTTCTCTTCAGGCCCTCAGCTACGGCCCAGCGGCGTCTTCGAAGGGCCGAAGTTTGGCTGTGGATTGTTTGGCTGCCCTGGCCACATCCCCCCACGGGCGGTGAGCTGTGTTGTCTCTTTGTTTGTTTTTTTATATTTTTTTCTCTTTCTTTTTCTTTTTTTCTGTCTATCTCTCTCTATCTGTTTATCTGTCTCTTTTGGCTGCCTGTCTTTCTGTCTCTCTCTGTGTTTATCTATCTGTCTCTCTGCTTTCTCCGTCTTGACTATCTCCTCTTTCTTGTCTATCTTTATCTATCTCTGTTTGTCTGTGTGTCTGTGTGTCTGTGTATGCATGCACTGTTGTCTCTCCTCTTTGTCTCCTTTTTCTGCGGGCTCACAGGGAAACGCTGCGTTGGTTTGGAGTGTACGAAGTGCTGCGCGCTGTCTTCTGCATCGAGACGGAGGAGAGCATCAGGTGCTCACGGCTCTTCACGAGGGTTTAGGGTTTAGGGTTTAGGGTTTATACATAAGCAGAGCTCGTATAGTATGCGCGGATGCTTGCATTTGTACGGGTGCAAGATATGCATGCAGCAGCATGTGTTTTCTTGATGTTTTCTTCTCTTCTTTGCCTGTGAAGATAGCGCGAGCAGCGTTGTTGTTTTTTTTTTGTTTTTTTTTTGTCTGCCGATGGATTCAGAGAGAAGGTTGAGGGTATTGTCCACTTGCTTGTCTTCTCTGAAGAAGAGCTACTGGAGCAAGACAAACAAATGCAGAAAAAGACAAAAGATATAAAGCCTCTATGCGACCTCGACGAGGAGACACAAGACTCGGTCGATGGCGCTCCCCCTAGCAGCAGCAGCAGCAGCAGCAGCAGCAGCCCCTGACAACCGGGTCTGCCCATGAGCTGCTGAACCTGCTGCTGCTGCTGCGCCACAAAAGCTGTTCGAAGACAAGTGGCAGATGAAGCCTATGGGGTGCAGGGCGCCAGCGCGTCCTGCAGTACAGAGCAGTGCAGCGGCGGAGTCCGTGTACATGCATCGCTCTCTTATCCACAGCCACAGCAGCTTCTCACAGTAATTATATTCATAAACTTTCTCGGCATCGACGTTGCTCTGCTGAGGCAACAGTGT